TTAGGCCAAATAATAAGACAACAAAAAAAGTAACAATTTCGGCATTTTCCGCATCCTCTTCTTACTGACAATTTTTAGCGTTTTTTTTTCACAGTGTGGTGCTGTTGGTTGTCATCCCGTAGAAGTTTTGTAATTGTGGCCCCATTGTTCACTTGAGTTGTATTGTGTGAGCAACAAGAGAAGTGGCAAATGTGAAAGCGGAGCGATGGGAAATTGGAGGTCCAGGAGTCGGCAACAAATTATGCAAATCCCCTTTTGAATGGCTTATCCTTCATGAATTTATATCGAAACGGAAAGCCAATGACTACGCGCCTTTGAGGCCTCGGTCATTGGAACAATAAAAGCTCATTTCTTGCTATTATCATTTCACTAACAAATAACAAATCATCGAGCTAAGCGACCGTTATCCTCGGGAGTAAGGTGGCACTTCTGGGCGGTGGAGGCGGGGGTAGGGGGCGGAGGCGGGGTCGGGGGCAAAGGCGGGTAACCCCAAAACGTGTTCACCTCAACGGCAAACAACCATATCGGAAGGCACGCTGAGGCTGCAGAAACGTCTGCCAATAAATTCTGTTAATAAACCAAAAGTTGTTAATTTAAATGATTTATATCTGAAGAGGAGAAAGCGGCAGAGATAGAGAGAGAGAGAGAGAGGGGAAGCAGCTGAAACGGAAGTGGTGATGGCAGAGTGCGAGTGGGAGGGTCAAAATTCCCCCCAGTAGCCAGGCCAATGCGCTTGTTATTGCTGAGCCTCAAAAATTCTCGTAATTTGGCATAACCTTTTGGGCAGCGCCAACGGGCCATAGTGCTCCATTTGCCTCCTGCCTGTTTGCATAGATACACTGAAGTAAAATATGGTAATCAATAAGAATGTTATGCCTAAAACTTGTTATGAAAAAGGCTAATTTCATGGGCTTATCAGCTTAGGTTGTTTAAATCAACTTTCCAAATGTGCTGATTTGGATTCAAATGTAATAAATTGTAAGAAGTTATCTTGGTGACATTGGGTTCGGCTTTAAGAATACAATTAAATTTTTACATTTGGTATAAAATATAAAAAATTTAAAATAATATAATACAATTACAAAGAAAACTTAATAATCAACTCTCTGGTTGATCAACTGTTTTTTTGTTAAAATAATTTAAGAATATTAAATAGAAGACATTTTTTTTCCGTGTACCCTTCCTTTTTGCTCGCTGATCCCTCTTGCTGTGCAAGTTTTGCGTGGTCGGGCAATAGGTCAAAGTCGGTGTGCCACTGGAAGACTGGGATGCTGGGATGCTGGGATGCTGGTATGCTGGGTGCCAGGAGATTGGGTGGGCTGTCCGTTGCCGTCAGCTTAAACCAATTTACGTACCCGATGTCTTCATCGCAGGCCGTTTCCATGGGTTGTGTCCGAATCCGAATCCGAATCCAAATCCGAATCAGTACCAGTGATTCGTGCGTACCATAGTACCATAGTGTGTCATGAGTTATTGCGTCTCCCCCAAAGCGGCACAACTGTGCGTATGCGTAATTTGGCTAAGCGGACTGGACAAGGACGCCTGTGCCCCTACGCCTATGCATTATACATAGATACGCGCACATATAGATATTTGGGAATCAAGCATTCTTGGGCCAAAGCAACCCATAAACGTTATATAGAAATTTATGCCCCTTTGTTTGCAGTCGAAATTATTTCACTTGTTTGTGTTTATTACGGCCAAATCTCGTCCAATGTCGGGCCAACGTTTGAAGGAAACATCGTTCGTTTTCCACAGCGTTTACTTTTAATGGTTCAACTGTTTTTTTTTTTTTTTCAGGGGGATTTTCCACATCTTAACTTTGGCCGAGACCTACAAATATTTGATGCTCCAGAGCGCCAGTTGTTTCGGGTTTTATTGATTGGCGTTGGCGTGCCTGGTTTATGTGGCATCCCTCCTCCGGCCGCCTTCTCCAGTGCCTTCCCCGTTGATTGCTGCCCTTGTTTTTGCGTGGCTGTCAAGCGTGAATGTTGCGCTACATTGAAAGGGATTTCTCGGCATTTAAATGGGTCTATACCCCCCAATTGCGTAAGTATGCTACTTGTCTGAGAATGCGAATAGAACTTTCAAAACATTTATTAATTGCATTTAGATTAATTAATCAGCGAGTTGTGAAAAGTTTTAAGACTTAAGACTCAAGAACAGTGCTGCCAGCATCAAAATTTTATGAATAAATAGAGAAGACACAGACACAATATACTCATAAAATTTAGAACAACATTTTATTCTTTTATAGATATTTAAGTAAATGATCTAAGCCATAGTAAGGTTCTCTACTTATTTTAATGAGTTTCAGCGATTCGGATGATTCCATTTAAGCCATATTTAATCAAATTTCCAACGAAAAGCAAATCAACAACACAAATGTTTTTTCTGCGCATACCTTGAATTTGCTTTATAAATGCACTGTTTTTATTTAATTGTATTTGAATTTTCTTTACATTGAAATTACAAACCAAATAAATGTTTTATAATTTTCTGTACACAATGATGTTAAGATGTTTCACCCTTACATCCCACATTATCTTGCGGATGCTTCGACTATGAGCAACTAATTTCCTCAGATGAGGCAACCGCAAATGGTAGAGCATCCTGTTGCACATGCATTAACCATGGCATTCACAACATTATGCAAACTTACACACACATTCAAATACTGCACCACATATACATACATATATATATCCCTGCACAAGGAGCTCATCAAGTCTTCCGGTTTGTCGAGGATGTTCACATTGTTTATGCTCCGGAATAAATGAATATAAAGCATTTAGTTTACAGCTGCCATTTGACAAGCATTCGCCCCAGTTATTGAATGAGTGGGTTGAGGGGAAGGGAACTCAGGAGAAGGTGTGGTACCCGATTCGTTGTTGGTTTTGCATTTTCTTTTAATAAAATACATGAATTATGCAGGCATATTAAATGGGAGCAAGTGACAGTTGTCGATATCGACGACTGGCTAGGGGACGCTTTCTTAACTTTCTCCCAAGCCACTTGACATTGACAGGCAACACAAACATGAATGCAGTGTATAACGCGATAAGACGAAAATGAAAATGGCCAAATGATTAATAAAGATAAAGAGATAAAATGTTGTATTAAAAATAATTGGCAATGAATTAGCCAATGGTATATTGAATTCCTTTAAAAAAAAAACAATAAAATGTAAAGAAGCTAAAAACAACACGTAAACTCTTTAAATGTTCATTGTTAAATACCAAAAAATGTAGCTTTTTACTAAATGTTATTCTAGATTGAACCACTAAACTAAATCTTTGAATAAACAAAGGGTCTTTAAAAAAATAGTCTATACCCAAATATTTGATAATTAAAGACCATTGTCAAGTTATTTATGCGTGGATGGTTTTTTACTAAGACCGAACAAGTGCTGTTTTATTGTCCCAATAAATTTACGATTAATGAGTAAAAATATGTTTTTACGGGCAATTTATAAATTATTCATTTTTTTAACTCAGTTGACCCTTTAAGAGAATTGACTGCTTGTACATGAACTCATGGATTGAAGAGTTGCTCTGGCGTACCGAAAGTTCTTTGACTCCTCCACCTGCTCCGTAAGCAAAAACTCTCGAAGATTTTCCAATGCCAACGCGGAATTTGCAATTCAGCTCGTAAACTTACTGATTTGTTTGCCACAAAAAAGGTGGCGGGACTTGCGTGATGAGTCAAGTCCCGACTTTCTCAGTCGATTTCCACAAATGCAAAGTCATGGCCAGGTCAAGGCCGGAGGTGAGCTCCTGAAAAAGGGTTTTTTTTTTGTGTTGTGTTTGGGGGGGGGAAATAAATTTGCAATTGATAGCCCGGACTGGCTCGTAATCAGTTTAAAAGGGCCGAATCTCAATTTGGCAATTGAGTTTGGCTGGCTGTGGCTCAACGTTCACACCCATAATCCAATCGTTTGAAGCGCTTTTATGGATTCGACATGTCAAATCGCGTGCAAATTTGTTTGAATTGGTTTTTCCCATACTCCTACATTTTGCATGTCCTACACTCAAACCAAAAGTCTTAAAGTGCTCACATGTAGTTACATTAAAAAAGTTTTAAAGTTAATCTAAAATTAAGAATAAAATTTAGTTGTTTCGCTTTTGGATTGTTTTATTCAATGGGATATATGTATGTACATATTGCCTATCCAAAGGATGTGCTTTACAAAATATTAGTTTATACAATAAAATTGTTTAAAGTGCTGGTTTTTTTGTTTGTGTAAAACACTCTACAATCAAATACGTAAACCCCAGGGGCCAAAAGGCTTTACAGTGTCCATAAGAACTTTTTTGTTGTTTTCACTAAAGTGTTAAAATGCACGGGGAACCCCAGAAAAAAAAAACAAAAAAAAGAAAAGGCCAATGAAAAAAAACTTTATTCAAGTCATGTAATTTCGAAACATCCTTTGATATCGTACATTCGCTTGTGTTTTGTATGCGCACGGTACAAATTGGTTTTTTTCCCATTTTCATTTTATTTACTCGCGGCGACATGAGGACAACCATATTTATTGCATAATTTTCCGCATAGCTCCCACACATGCCAATAAAGAAACTCAAAAATGGTCCAGCACTTCAATAGCGTTGTGATTTTTGCTGGCAGTACAGCATATGAATTACCAGCTAGTTTTTGGGTTGGATTTTTTTTTCATTTCCAAAATATAAGGAAGTATATTTTTTTTATCAACCCTTTAAGCAAATCTGAAATGGAAATTATTATCGTCAAATTGGTGATGCATTCTTTTAGGAGAAAATTCATTCCAAGGCAGCGCTAGCTGTTCTGATCTGAGAAAAGTTCTTTTTTCGGTTGATAACATTCGAAAACGACTTTTGTGGCCCATCAAGTTAAAGAATCTCAAGGAGTATTATAACAATTTTAAAAAGAAATCTTTTGGACCGTTTTGGAAAATTAAAAAAAAAATGTAATTTAAAAAGGTGTTACTTGTACTATATTACTCTCTATTATTTATACGCGAATTTACTGTCTAACAAAAATAACCTTTATTTAAGAGTTTGTTCTTACAAATAATCTGCTAAGCTAGAGATAAAAATAGGACTACAAGTTGCCTGGGATTATAATTGGGTATTATACAGTACGTTTAAATGAAAATGAAACCAAGATCTATTGGAGTGTAAGGCGTCAGTGAGCATGGAGTCTAATCTCGTGCGCGTCCTCTTCCTCGGCCACCATTTCCACCTTCATGCTCTCGGCCAGCATAACCGCATTCTGGTGAAGTTTGGTCTCCTCGTGCTGACGCATGTGGTGCAACAGTCGGAAATCCTTGTGACAATAATCGCATCGGTACAGCTTGATGTCCGTGTGGATGAGCTCGTGCTTGGTCAGCGAGTGGGCGTAGGCAAAAGCTTTGTCGCAAACCTTGCACACGTATGGCTTAACGCCGCGGTGAACACTAAATAGAATATAGAGAAGTTTATTAAAATTTGTAGTACCCAAAAACTTGTTTAACCACATTTATAACATTAACATTTTAAATTAAATTATTTTAAAATGCACAAAAAATACCTGTCTAGCACACTATGGTACTTACTTCTCATGAGACTTCAGGACACTCTCGTAGAAGAATTGTCTGCTGCAGTAGCTGCATTTAAATGGTTTGCTACCCGTGTGCGAGTACATGTGCTTCCGCAGCTGCTCGCGCACCTGAAACTTGGCATCGCACAGTCTGTAAAGGTATGATAATGTAATCAATGGTTTTAAAATTGATTTTTTTTCTTGTGATTGTTTTATAATACATGGAATGTTTTCGGCGTTTTGAAACATTTACACATTAAAATATTTGTAAGCCCTTAAACTTTTAAAACAGTGAAGTTACGGTAAGTTTTAACAATTTTCGGATAGGTTTCAAGTCTTAACTAAAATCTGGTTTCTGAAACTAACTTTTAGGATCAAAAGTTTCCTTTTCCAGAAGAGTTCTTATCTGATCAGATTTAAGAAAATTCCCGAAAAACAATTAGTTATTAGAAATCAATGAAATGTAAAAGATAATAATGCAATAAAGATGACCTTTCGGACTTACTCGCATGCGTACTGGCAGACGGCGTCATGGCGCCGTCGGTGTTCCATCATCCGTCCGCGCTTCTCGTAGAAGTTGCCGCACACGTCGCAGATGTAGCCGCCCTTCTCGGTGCCGTCGGATGTGGTCAGCGAGTTGAGGCCGCGGCGAACGCGCCCGCGACGCACCTTTAGACTGGCCTTGGCCGCCTCTTGGAGCGCCAGCTGTTGCGAGGGCGTCTCCTCGTACTGCTTCTCGGCTTCCAGAACGATTTCGGCCTGGTCGGCGCTCATGTCGATGGTGTAGTTCTCCTCCAGGTACTCGATGGTGTCGCCCAAGCACTCTTGCTGCTCACTGGTCTCCACCTCCAGGTACTCCTCCTGCACCTTATCGTCCTGATGGTCTCCCTCTCCGGCAGTGCTCTCCTCCAGTATGTACATCTCCTCGTCGCATTGCGACTGCGAGCCGTCCTCCTCCTTTATCAGCATATCATCGGAATCGTCCAGGAGGCCCAGTTCCCGGCAGTAGTCCTCGATCTCGCCCTGCTTGCGGAGCGCCTTCTCGCGGAACTGATAGGCCATGTTGAGTTCCACTTTGCAGGACTTGCAGATGCCATCCGGAATGTTTTCCTTGTCGTTCAGCTAAAGTGGACAAGCGACCCTTGATCAGCTGATCGCTTCAAAATCGCGAATTTGCTTACCTTGCTGTACGAGACGCCCAAAAGTTGGATCAACATCTCGTTTGGGGTCTCCTCGCCCTCCTCACGAGACTCGTCCAGACGCTGTAGCCGCGCACTGGGTTCCAGGCACACTCGACACGTCTGTGGGGTTAGTTCGCTGCGCATTCTTGCTTCCTACTTGCAATTTAATTAAAAGAACCGCTCGCAACAGTATTTTAGTGTTAAAATTTGTGTTGCTAAAGTGTTGTGTAAAGCGACTGAAAAAAAGTAACGCAGCATCGCCATTTTATTGCCAGGGCTGCACAGCGCCAACGCTCACGCACGCTGGTTCATTTCACTGGTTCCGTGCAGCAGGGTGTACCACACTTTAAATATATTTTTATTGTTCTATATAAATTTCATTGTAATAATCGTTGAAGAAAATATATTAAAAAGAATAGCGATAATACTTTGATAAGATAGTTATTAGAATAATAATTTTCCATCGGTGTTTCAACCATTTAATATTAAAATCCAGTTAAATATTTTAATAAGTGATATTTGAAAATTTAGAAAATGTATATTCAAATAATATGTATAATTTTTGAAACAGGAAATATGTGTTGAGAAAAAATGTATTTGCAATAAGTTTATTTATTTATTTCGCCAATGGATTAAATCTTTAGTTGACTAACGGGTTATTAGCTGAACTCTAGAAATACTTCCAAAGCGCTATTTGGATACCCAGCAAAATGAGTTGCATAACCGCAAAGCCTGGTATACCATTTCAAATACACATAAGTCTAGTTTATTAATGAAATTTGCTCTCATATATAATACAAATCTTAAGCAAATACTAAAATGCATTCGCAAAAGTCAAATTGAATTTTTATTGGTAAATAAAATGTCAGCGAAATTTATAGCCAGCTATGAACTAGTTCACTGAACAGCTAGCTTTGAACTGAAGCGATGACGATAACATTAAGATCATCATAACACAAAATTGGCACGGTTATAATAAAAAAGGCTATTGAGTTTCAATTTGATTGGTTAGTTGCATACAAAAAAAGTATAAAGTTAACTTTTTATGAACGACATAGTTTAATTTAAACCCTGTGTTTACATCCGCAAGCCTTGCATAAAATAGTCAATTTGCGACCGCAGCGATCTGGCAACGCCGCATATTTTTCGAGACGCAGAACGCAAGATATTTCTTATCTGTCTTGTAAAAAAAAATGGATTATTTCATTTCGGTCGGTGCGTATCTCGGAAAATCGCATGCTCGTTGGCAGTAGAGAAGGCCATCGACTTTCCACGCCCAACGCCCCGTGCCCCCCGCCCGTGGGGAAAATGGGAAAGCAACATTATCTGGCCTCCGTATCTTCGTCCGTCACAGCCGTCAAAATGTTCGTCGCGCCAGTTATCGACTCGACAATCTCCATCTCCTAAAAGCACACACAACACACACACACACTCAATCGCACGCAGGCAGGCCAGCACACACACACACACACACACGTAACCTGCCAGTGGAAGCGCCCTTAATCTTGGCCAGAAACCACAAGAACAAGAAGAACACCAGCAGCAGCAGCTGGCGGAGGTAAACGGAGGCGCCGCTAGCACTAGCACTAGCACCTATCATGTCCGAGAAGCACGGCCAGCTGGGTGAGCAGTGGACGAAATCAGCGGCGCCAGCAGCCTCGGCACAAGCCTCCAATTCCATCCCCATACATCTACCGATTCCCGTAGTGCTTCCCCTCCAGAAACCCAATGCCAGTCCCTATGGCAACTGCAGCCTACAGCCAGCGGATATTGTCTATAATGCAACCCGATTCCAGGGATCTGCTATCCATGCCAAGGCTTCACCCCTGACCATAACGCCCGTGGGCCCTGGCAGTGGTGCTCCTGCCGCTGCCCAGATCTCGCCCACGAGCCACACCCATGTACCTGTACCTGTAGCCACGCCCAGCGGCTTTGTGCCGCCTCCGTTTCCCATTGCCGCCGGCGGCGGCGGCAGTGGTGGTGGTGGTGGTGTTGGTGTCACCACATCCGTGCTCACCCCGAATCAGTTTGCCACGGCAACTGGAAACACTGGTGCGGGACTGACCTTCGCCAATGCCTTCACCTTCAACGCGGCCCAGCAACTGGGTCTGGGCAAGATCATGCACGCCATGGGCGGAGCCACTGGTGGAGTGTCAGCGGTATCCGTACCAGTCACCACAAATCCATCAGCGGCTGCTCCTTCGGCTCCCACAATCACTGGCCAGAGGCATCCCAATGACGCAGTGCCAGCGGCCGGTGGAGTGATCAATTCCACCATTGCCGAGAATGTAATGAACGCTTTGAGCAACTCCAAATCAGTGGGAGCTTCATCGGTGTCCAGCGATGAGAAGATGCGAAGGGTGCAGCAGGTGATCGAGGGCAGCTTAGAGTGAGTTTATAATAAAAATGAATAATAATAATAAACCATCTTAACTAATGGGGATTTCCTTGCTTTAGCGACAATGCCAAGCTGCAGATTTCGCAGATCCTTGAGCGCGTCTCGGGATTGAAGCCCATTGAGAAGCTATTCCTTTATCTTCGTTTGCCTGGCGAGTGTGCTGACACAGATCCGCTCAGGCAGCCACAAAATCCACTGGGAACGCGCTCGGAGATTAATCACACCATCAATTGGGTGCGTTCCCATCTGGAGCACGATGCGCAGGTGTCCATACCAAAGCAGGATGTGTACAACGATTACATGTGAGTGTCCTTTGGCCTTTACTCTTGATTCAGGTTTAGAAAGTTGATAAACTACCTACTAGCATCTATTAACTGTTTAAATCAATCAAAATTGTTTAAGCAAGCGATCAGTAAAGTCTTTTTAAAATCATTTATTTTAATATACAAGATTACTTGTATTTTGCACTGTTTAAATTAAATAATTTATAAAGTTTTAGTTCAGTTTTGACGTTTTTAAATAATAACAAATTTTCTTTTATATCACCGTTTAGAGCTTATTGCGAACGCCTCAGTATCAAACCACTTTCCACGGCGGATTTCGGCAAAGTGATGAAGCAGGTATTTCCGGACGTGCGTCCCCGGAGACTGGGAACGCGAGGAAATTCCCGATATTGCTACGCGGCCATGCGGAAGACCACCAAACTGACGCCGCCACAACTTCCACAGCTATGCAAAACCGAGCAGGCCTCAGGTGGTGAAGCCACTGCCGACGTCAGTCATCTGAATAACGCCTCTAGTTTGGGTGCATTACAACAGTCGCCAGGAGGCGAATCGGAATGCTGGGATGTGGTGCGTAGCTGGGCAGAGAAATTGCTGAACACCAAGCTGGAAAGTGTGGCGGATTTAAGCTCCCGCATCAGGAGCAACAATGCCACAGTTTCGGCCAAAAAGTACACACCCCGTGAACCCAAGGAGAAAAGAGTTTTAGCAGTAAGTTTGAGAAAATCTTTGGAGTAAAAGACCCCTAATCCATTATGTTTTTTTTTAGGACATTGGACCCCTGAAGAAGCGGCGCAAAAAGAAACGCAAGGGTTCCACATCCTCGGAATCCAGTTGCAATCAATTAGTTGCCGGTCAGGATGCGGGCAGCAGCCAGGAGGCCAGCGACGAACAGCTACTGAAGATCAAGCAGGAGATCATAGACTCGCCCATTCAGCACCAGCAACCGCCAATGGGCGCTGCCTACCTTCAGCAGGTGACGCCCATGAACCTGGCCACAGATCAGCGAAGCAGTGGCGCTGTGCGCAACCTAACGCCCAAAATTTTGGAGATGGGTTCGCCGGCCGTTCTGCTGGCGCAGCAGGAACCGTCGCCCACGGGCATAGTTATCAAGGACGAAGTGGAGGACTACACATCGAACATTTTCTGCAAGAAGGTCTTAAAGGCGCAGCAAACGAAAGGTTTCTGGGCCAATTCTCCCAGCAGTGGTACAACGAGCGGTGGCGGTCTTCTGGTACCACCAACAATCACCACCACCTCGGCCACACCCCCGCCGCCGACGAACTCTAATAATTCCCCAGTTCCTGGACCCGGACTCTCCATGGGTCCGCCATCACAGATAATGAACGCCAGTTCGGTGAGCCCGTCGGGCAGCGTGGATAGCACGCCCAAGGTGGCCTCCCGAAACCAAATGATACTGCGAGCCAAGCGGGTAATGGCAGCGGAAAATGCCGCATTGGCAGCTGCCGCCGAGGACTCCGGACTGCCGGAGAATCTTGGATTGCCCAGAGAGCGTGTTATTAGCATCTGCAATATGGATAAGCATGAGCTGGATGACTACTTTCTGCCTGGCGAGGATGAGGAGAACTCCGAGGAGCCCGACACCGAGCTGCTTCAATATTTTCCGATGGGAGACGCTGAGGAAAAACAACTAAATTCCTTGGATGCTGCCGAACAGAATTGGAATCCACAAGAGCCAACGACGATCAACGACGGTTCTGCACCGGAAGCGATGCCCGCTCCCGGCCGCGGAGCAGCCAACGCCGCCGTCGTCGTCGTCGCCGCACCAGCAGCGATGCTGGCACCGGTGCCAGCGTCTACGATGCTGCCCGGACAGGCTGGAGTGGTTTCTGCCTCAGCGTCTCTGGCCCTAATGTCAAAAAAGCATCAGCAACAGCAGCACCAGCTTCAGAGCCTGCAGCAGCAATTGCTCCAGCGCTCCAAGCAGCTGCCCAATATCAGCAATAACAAGCGAAAGATCAGCCTGAGCAACGCCTCCAGCAACGGTAGCAACAAGAATTGCATTTTCCTGCCCATTTCTCCGAATATCAACGGATCCAATGGATCCAATGGACCAGTGGCGACCACGACAGCTCTGGGGACGGTGAATGCCAGCCAAAATTGCTTCGCTAGTCCGGGTCTGACCAGGATGAGGCAACGCCCGAATTTGTTGAGCAAACAGCAATCTTTGGACTGTGACAATCGAGATCCCATGATCGGTGCCCATCGCAAGGTTCGTGGCTATGTGTATAGCTATCCGACGAGCACGTCTGCCTCCGCACCACCCAGTCCCTCGCTGCTCCAACAATGGATGGGTGGCAGCTGGTCGTTGAGTGGCGGGAATAGCTCTAGTTTTGCGGACACCAGTCACAGCGCTGATCCGCTGGTCAACCAAAACTCAATGGATCTGGAGACGAGTCTGGCGCTGACGGGAGCAAACGAACTGGATACGTCGGAGATGCAGCGTTCGCAGTCGGTGCCACTCTCTCAATTGCAACGACGGTGCAGCCAACAGTCGCCCAGTCTACATTTCTACTCCGAGAACAGCAACAGCCAGCAATCGGCGCCATTGAAGGATACAGGATTACTCTACGAGGAGGTGGATGTGGGCTCTCTGATCTCGCCCAATTTCAACAGCAAGTTTAATAGCATCACGCAGCAGACGGCCACCACGTGCAGCTCGTCGGCGGGCTCATCGTCCGGCTACAGTAGCGGCGGCTCTGCGGGAATTGTCTCACGATCGGTACCCTCCACTCCGCTGCCACATCAGCACCAAAGCAGCCTAACATCTTTGAACGGAGCAGGCGTAGCGACGGCCAGTGGAGGTGATGTTCTGGGAATCGGAAATGGAGGCAACTGCGGAGCTGGAAATGGCTTCTTCACCATCTCGGACTCATTCAACTGGGAAGGATCTACGGGGAGTGGTAACAACCAGGTTGCCTATGGATCACATTCTTACGGTGCCCGCAATCCACTGGACATTTCCAAATCGATGCCAACGACACCGATAGCCACACAACGTTTCCGCTACAGTCCAGCGGAGGTGCATCGTGATTTTCTCATTAATGGCAATACCATTGATAGTTTAACTTCATCCGCTTTTGGAGCGGGAGGAGGTGCCACCGATCCGGCATTGGCACTCAGCACGGACACCCTGATCGATGACAGTGCGCCCAGCAGCGCCGGTGTCGTGGAGGCGATGATCGGTGTTACAGACATACTCGACGACTTTTAGAATTTGCATGAAGAGAAAGCTCAGGAGGATCATGAAATACCCGAGCGCCAGGAGCCGGATGAAGTGGAGGAGAGTGAGGTCGAGTCATCTGCCAAGGAGGACGCCAATGTGGTGGCCTGTCTGCTGCAGCATGTAGACCAGTTGTAGAGCCTTCTATCATCCGACTCCTGCTGTGTTCATGTCTCGTTACTTATTTGTGTTTTATGTTTTGTCCAAGTCCATTTTTTTTTTGTTGTTTCTGTTCCAAGAGTTCCATTTTTCTATACTTTTTTTTTAATTGGAAAATTTAGCTTCTTAACTTAACTACAAATTCAATTTACGATTATTTCTGAAAGAAAAGCTTAGCTTTAAATTAGGTTGTGACAAAATTTAGCACGTTTATTTAAACATACATAGAAAACTGGAACAGAATCCTGAAAACCTCCTCCACAAACGAGCTTTCTCTTCATGCCAATCGCAAAATAAGAAACAAAAAATCCAACAAAATCCTATCTTCCCTCTGTCTTAACTAATCAACAGCTTAACTGTGCCTCTAATTGGTTTCATGAAATGAAATGTCCAACAGCATTAGAGGTTTAAGTTGACCCGACTTCTGTAATCTATCTATGTATCTTTACCCTCAGGCCCTTGTTGTACGTATGCAATTGGCATATTGTTGTAATTACTAAACATAAACATTAACAAACGGATGGCGATGGCGATGACGATGGCGGACAGCAAATCGGTTTCCCCTTGCTGTATGTAGTTGCATAGTTTTATCGTTGAACAACATTACAAATGAAACGAACTTAAAGTCTGATTGAAGGAAACGTGTGCAGCGGTTTTAAAAACGAAAACAAATTTACAAAATGTTACTGTAAACGAATGTACATCTAGAACTATAGAACCTAACCTCGGCGCTCGACGAGTTTGTCTTCCTGCGACCCTCGATTGTACATATATAAGTATATATACTTGTTCCACGAGGATTTTATAAAGGGTCGCAGCGAAACAGTCTCAGTTCAAAATTGTCAAATTTAAATGTGTGTGTTTGTATGGTGTTGTAAGGTATTGAGAATAGCGAGCTTCGTCAATTGTTCATCCAATTCATTGGCCTCCTCCTTCGATTTTAACTAACCCAGCCCCGATCTACATAATATATTTGTTACGCTATATCTTTATCTGTCTATCTTAAACGCTTTTGATTCTTCGATTAGTTGTAAGTGTTTGTTTGTTATACCTGTTTATTATTTTTTGTTTAATTCACGCTTTCTCGGTTCGATCTGCGCGTGTAGTACTTTAGTTGTGCTATCAATTTTTCGATTTTGTACGATGTTTTGTAGTTCATGTTTTCTAATGCCTGAATTTCTAGTTGTAGTGTCGTTTCTTGTGCCCAGTTTATCAGAGTCTTAAGTTCTATTTTATCGATGTGAACAAAGTTTAGCTTTAAACCCTTCTTATTCATAATTCACATTGCAAATGAATGTTAATTTGTTTGTAAAACAAAGTAAAACACAAGCCCCAAAACCTATTTTCGTTCTAAAAACAATAATGCGGATCATGTGAGCATAAAATGTTTATAAAATTGTAAAGGAAATAAATCATAAATGTGCCTCAGGCTTTATTGTAAAACAATTATATACCACAACAAAAATATTCATACAAACATACAAAATGCATTAAAAACAAAAGGAAAAAACTAGATACGTATACACAAATAAATAGATTAATAGAACGTTATACGAGTATAATTAAATATACACTCATTTACAAAAGGCAAGGCTAGGGAATCAAATGAATTTGTTAGAAACTCGGATTCAACTAGTAGACTATATATATAGTCATAAAGAAAATAATACAATAACCAGAACTGCACTCTTTGCGTAAAATAAACATTGTCAGCTAAATTCAAAAAAGGAAGAGCTAAAAATATAACGATTATTTATTTTTAAGCAGCGCCACTTACCCCGAAGTCCGCTTTAAACAACAACCCCCAATATAAGAGTAAAAATAGCAATAGCCCTAAGTATGGTAATAAAATTAAACATATTGTCACCGGGAACACTTTAGATGAGATATATGCAATTATACAGAAACAATGCATTAAAGTTAAACAAACCAAAACTGTACTTTTTTATAAGATATTTCAATGACATAAAATACAGATAACAGAAACGAAAAATATGCGAATATTATTGGTTCGGGAAGATGTTGAAAACAATTTCTTATCTTTTAACTTTTTTGCCGGCAGGAAATTGGGATTCACCTTATCAAATACTTATTGATATGTTTGTTGATCACCTTATCAAATACTTGTGGGAACTCTGATTTATGGCCAAATAAAAATTTTAGTTTAACCATTTTCATATTTCAAAAACTTCAGGATGACAACCAAAACGGATACGAATATATTTACATTTTTGCAGAGGGTAATATAATTTCAGTCAAAAGATAGGATAGCATCACACATATTTGTATAAGCTGCAAAGGTATATAAGCTTTATATTCGATTTATTTTTTAAATAATTAGAAACCCTTTTTTTGTCATTTAACAACGAAAAAACGGTCGAAACTGGTTTAATAAATACATACCCAATGTTGTGTTATGGTTATTATTTAGATTTAAGTCCAATTTCAATCCATATTAAAAAAAAAACTTTAGCATTTGCGTAATTATATATTAATACTTTTTATTAAACGTTTAAGTTTAAAATAATAATATGCAATTAATATTTGTTAAATATACATAATAATAATACCTTTAATTTTAATATGCGTTTGTGTTCATTTAATGTTTTTCGCTTTCTCATCTCCCCGAATATCTTTCTTTTACGTTCTTCGTTTATTGTTTTATAAATTTTACATGTAAATTTAACTATTTAATAATATTTTTTTATATGCATTTTACATGTCCTTTTTTTTAATAGCGCCAAAATAATATTACATTTGCTACAACTCATGTTCATTACGCCACATTTCTGTCCGATTTAGCTCGGACTCAGTATAATATTTTACGTATAAAAATCATTTTACGCCTAATATACTTGTTTTTGTTTAGTATAGTTATTAGTTAATTTACTCATTTATTAATCGTATATTACACTACGCTAATAGCACATTTGAAATTCCCTTTATTCGCTATAAGTACTGTTAATCATATAAGTTTTATAATTCATTATGTTTTGCTAAATATTTGTTGTTTATGCTGGTTTATTTAAATGCTTGAAAATCATTTATTTCTTTGTTTACTGTTCAATTGGTTTCCTGATATTTTTACCTCCCACGCTGCTCGATCGTCGTATATAATATATATATATATATATATATGTATATATTTTGTATATGCTGCTATAATATAATATAATTTATAAAATTGTTGTTTATCTCGCTGAGGTGGAAAATTCATTAATTTATAAGGTTACTTGTTGTTCTGCTTCTTTTGCTGCTGTTGCGGTTGCGAATGCATGTTGCTTGTATACGTTATCTAATTCCCTCTACTTCAGTTTAGATTTATTGTTTTGCGATTAATCTGTTAAAGTTTTTGTATATCTTCTGCTTGCTATTTGAGCACATCCAGTACACCAAGTACTTATATTCCTATGAGCGGAAACATAATACAAAATAAAAAACCAAAAAGTCTAAAAATTGTTCAAAACGAAAGGTAAACTCTTTGTGCTTTACATGATTATATTTTGTATGCTGTAATATTAAAATATTATTGCCAAATCTCTCGAGGCAAAGCAAAATATCTTTATATACATTCGATTTACCATCCATCTTTGTCGTCGTGAAAACAGGAACGGGCTTGGAATTTGAGGGTTGGTCCCAATTCAACGTGGCGAAACTGTAGTCGTATTTTTAAAAAATTATTTTAACACAAAACCGAGAAAATCAAAAGACGAATTTTTTAACATTAGTTTACAATTTTATTTCAAAATAATAAAGACAAAAACATTCAACTTATGGGCAAACGTAATTAAACAATAATTCAAATTAAATACATAATCGTAATAATTGGTAATCGGTACAAAGAAGTCAGTAACATTGTTCATTAGCAGTTGGGTTCATTCGGGTTCAACCTTATAACCAAATACGAAAAAACGTCGCTATTCTAGTTAAAATTATCATCGAAATAAAAACACACTGGTGACAGGAGAGCTGGTGGATAGCAATAATCAAATAAAACAAGGCAAATGGAGAGCTGGGCTATACAATAAGTTAGCTATGCATACACAATTCATTTAGTTAAAATTACAAAATATCTTCATTAAATACAGTACAATTCAAAGGATGATCCCATCCAATTCATAAAATAATCTGGCTAAAAAGCAGCAAAGCGTTGCACACACTTTTCTGGTTATCTCTCCGTTTCATTCAGCAAATTGAACTAAATTAGTTTACTAAATTAATTAATTACTCGTTGTGGTGGTTGAGTTGTTGTTAATGTTCATGTTGTTATTGGGTGGCAGCAGATCGCCCGTCTGACTTCGACTGTCAATTGACCAGTCCCAGTCCTTGCCCTTTGGCCGAAACTTGGATGATTTGTGATGGTGTTGCTGCTGCTGCTGCTGTTGCTGCTGTTGCTGCTGCTGATGATGGTTAAATACGCTATGGTGCGGTGATGACTTCTCCTTGGGCGATTTACCAGATTTTCCCAGAAGAGGAGCAGCTGCTAATCCACCGATGTGATTCGGAGCATCCAAATTGGGTGGCGGCCCATTGCCCGCCGCATCAGCGGCCGTGGGCGGTGCACTGGAGTTCGAGTAGGCCAGCAGTTCGTCGCAGTCGTACTCCCAATTACGTTCGCAGAACTTCTTCTTGTAGTGCTTTTCCGAACTGCTCTTCGACTTGCGCTGGTACTTCAGCGGTATTCCGCCCAAATCGCCGGACACCACTGGTCCACTGGCCAAGGGCGGAGTGGCCACACTGGCGGCACTGGGACTCGGAGTCCTGGGCAAACCGACGTCCGACAGCGGCGGCGATTCAATGGCACTGGGATCCACTGGCGACACGGTTTTCAGGGAGCCACCAGCACCATGCAGCGATGAAGATGCAGAGGATTTGATGCTGCTATCGCTCAAGTGATCGGACAGGTGGTGGTGGTGGTGCTGCTGCTGCTGTTGGTGCTGCATCTGCAACTGTTGTTGTTGCTGCTGCTGCTGCTGCTGTTGCTGCTGCTGCTGGTGATGGTGATTGCTGCTGCTGCTGCTGATGCCTCCACTGTTGAGCTGGCCATGATGGTTGTACAGGCTATTGGTGCTGCTGCCACCGCTGCCAATGGGCAGCTCCAGCTGCGAGGAGCTGGACGAGGTGGACAAAAACGTGCGCACCGCATCCGAATTGCTGCTGCTGTGCGTAATGCCCGAGTCCGGCGATGTGTTGCAACTGATCGAGGCCGGCACGGTGTCGCCATCAATGCTCCGCCTGGTCTTATCCAATTCAGTGCTGGCAAAGGCCACCAGTCGATCGAAACCGGAGCTGACGCGATGCTGCCAGTGGGTTTCATCATCGGCGGCTATAACATCATCTGGGGAGAATGAATAAAAATCGTCGTTAGCTTAATCTCATCGAAGCATGTGGCAATAGTGCGAATGTTTTTGATTTTTGGCTTGGGTGAAAAGTTGGTGAGTTTCGGTGGGTTTTTTTTTTGGGGAAATAGTCAGTCGGATATCAGGGGTGATAATGATAACGATAACGATAACAACACGGGCGATAACGCGCCGTGTCCTAAGCTTTTGTCCATATTTTTAATTTATCTTCTTGGTACAGTTGCGTTGCGCTTTGCGTGCAGGGGGAATTTTGTTCGTGTTGATTTGTGTTTATGGCTGTTTTTGATGTGCATTTTTTGTGTGTGTTTGGTAAATGTTTAAACAAAGGTGTTACGTAATGAAAGTAAAATAAATAATAAATCATAACTAAATCATAATTAAAAGAAAGAAACCAATTAGGCGCAACAGAACTTACCTCATGCTCGTAAAAATTTCATAAATTTTGTTCGGGATTTTTAATTATAATTTGGATTTTGGCATATAAATTCTGTACTTTTAGTAGGTAAATTATTAAACGCAAAAATTAAAAGTTGTCTTTTGTAGGTTTCTGATTTGAAATCATTGTTTTTCATCAGGTTTTTTTTTTCTGTTTTGTATTCTGCTTATTATTTATGGTTATTAGAAGATTTTTTTTTTCTTTTGCCCCAACAACAAACATGTTTTCGGTTTTGCTTTTCATTTGGTTTGGTTTGGTTTGTTTGAGGAATTTTGAGGTATGCAAGTCAATCAATTCAATTCAATTCAATACAATTCGGTTCAATGCAAGTCAATTCAATGCAATGCAATCGATCGATCATTGGTTATTGGGGTACAGTGGGGCAACTACTACTACTATCGGCCAGAACATATCCGTTCAGATTCTGATTATTATTATGGGCAGCTGATAGTTTCGTTGGCGCGCCAGACAAAGTCGTGCGAAGGCGACGTCTGGGATCGTAATTAGTTATAGTACGACGTTGCGTTGCCAAATCGTTAACTGTATGGAGTAGAGCATAATAGAAGGGATAATAAAGAAGGCTGGATAAGATGGGACATAATTGGTTTGGTTTTGGTTTTGGTTTTGTTTTTGGTTTCTTATAGCATTACCAATTTGCATATGCAGTTTTTTTGTTCGAATTTTAGTAAAATTGAAAATTAATTATGCATTATAATTATGATAACATTCCAGAAAGTTGCTTTTTTTGGGTTAATTTTGAAATAAATGTTTGCATTTATGGGGGTGTATGTGTGTTTGTATATTTATGTATGGTTTTTACAAAAGAGCTTTTTAGCTTTATGTGTGTGTTGTTGTTGTGTTTTGCGGGTGGCTCTGGATAACATATCATATACATATGCAGTAGGTATAGAGATGATTGATTTGGCATGACGCTTAAGATAAAAGAGGAGCTAAATTACTTTCAGCATGTTGGATGTTGTTGGCTTTGATTTTGTGGTCGTTTGTTTGCTTTGTTTTTTTATATAATACAGAAATGTTTGTTGAGGCATCGAATCGAAAATATTAAAAAACATAGATAGTTTGTACATATACACTCTTTCTTTCGCGATAATCTTAAAATTTGTCTATTGTTTTCCAGTTTTGTTCGTAGTTAAATATGGATAGTTCCTTCTTTACTTTCGGTTTTCTTCACTTTCTAAAGTTTAATTTCAATGTTGATGGCAGAAATAAAAATACAAAAAGCAATACAAAATCATAAACAAATAAAATAAAAGTACTCAAAGCTACATAATGTAAACGAAAAAAAGCAACAATTACAGTGTGGACTACAAGTGTGATGGACAAAAACCAAACTACGAAGAACACGCAACATTTAAAATGAGTTCAGTGGTGAGAAATCAAGATAATTTTTTTTTTTTGCATGTTATATTTACAAAAGGGTGAAATGTATAAATTTAAATATAATTGTTTTAAGATGTGTGTGCAGTGCTGTTTTAAAAAGCAATTCAAGCCGAGTCAGAGTTGGAATTAGATCCTGAGCCAGAGCCAGAGCCAGAATCCGTGGATGAGGACTCGCTATCGGACACCACTTCCTTCTCCGCTTCCGATTCAGATTGCGAATCCTCTTCCGTTTCCGGTTCCGGTTCCGGCTCTGCTCGCTTCATGGTTAGATCTTCTGCCACCGTTTGGGCGGCTAGTCGAGTTTGGTAATTGTGCTGGTGAAGAATGTGTGGTTCTAGCAGATAGGCTACGTGTGCTGGTGGTGGTTGTGGTTGTAGTGGTGGTGGTGGTGCTTGTTGTGGTGCATATTTGCTTGGTGATACCGTTGACAAGCTTGCGGCTTGGTCTACGTATAGCTTACCATCGTCGGCGCCATTGCCACTGCGCTGTCCGCCCAAAGTGGGCGTGGTGCTGTGACTGTGATTGTGACCGTGACCGTGACCGTGATTGTGCCCATGACCAAGGCCATGTCCCAGATGGGGCACCCTCAATTGCTGCTGCTGTGCCAGCTGCAGGTGTTGCTGTTGCTGCTGCTGCTGCTGTTGCTGCGACTGATGGTGGTGCAGCATTTGCTGCTGCTGCTGCTGTGGGTGGTGCGTCAGCTGCATGGCTCGCTCATCGCCCAACAGCGAATTGATCTCGGGACTCATCAGTAGTGGTGGCTCCACCAGCAATTTGCCACTGTTGCTGTTGCTGCGACGTCCGCATGACGACGACGATGACGAGGGCGTGGGGAGGGGCGTGGTCGCGTCATGAGCTGGAGGCGGCGGCAGCACTTGCCCGTTGACATACAGGTGTGCGTGGTGCGGCTGCTGCTGCTGCTGCTGCGTCGGTGGCGGCTCATAATGCGCCAGTTTCGAGGGGCGCGGCGGTTGCTGGTGCGACGCCAGCGGAGAGCTTCGTTTTATTCCAACTAAAAGATTAAATTAGGGAGTTAGAAAAACAAATTAATTTTTAAGAATGTTCGAAATAATATTAAATATTATTATTACTGTCATGGATTTACTATTCACAGAAGCTGGATTAATGTAACATCAAATTGGGCACTATTAATCAAAAGTATAAAAAAATATATAATATTTTAAATTTGCTGATCTCCTTCGATCCTTATGATTTTTATCAATCCTGCACTCATGTTTGATATCAGTAAAATAAATATGATCTATAGGTTTTATAGCACATATATATAATAAATATTTATATTTAGGCATGTCCCAATTTAAGGCTTATTCTTATCAAAAAATCGCTAGTTTCCAAGATAACTAAACTTAAAGTAAGCTAAACTCGCTTTAATTCGACTATTAAATTGAAATAGTTCCCTTTGACCAAAAAGTATTTTCTGGTGATCAAGCAAAAGCATAGTTCTTAAAAATCAACCCATCCTTTTTTGAATACTTACGCTCGACTTTGTGCGGCGTTCCATTAAGATTGGCACCATGGTGATGGTAACTGTGGGCCGGCGGCGCCTGGTGAGCATAGTGCGTTGCCAAATCCAAGCCAGAAGGCGGTACTCCCGCTGAAGACGAAGAGGCAGCGGCTGCTGCACGGCGTTGACGCTCCTCGGTTTCTTCCTTGTATTTCCTGGCGCGCACATGATCCTGCAGCGAGGCAGCTAGTCCTAAAGAAAATGTAATGTTGTATTTATAAATCAATTTTTGATAGTTTTTAATTTTTGGTCGATGATAAAAATGATGATCAAATAAGTTTTTTAAATTGAAAAATATCCAGTGAAAGCGACTAACTTGTATCCAAAATAGTTTTTGAATGGCAGCTTTCTTAAGAGCGATCGCTCGCAGGCACACACCGCTCCACATAAAAATTTTTAACGCTTTTTTCTCGAAACTCGACTATAAATGTATCGATCGGTTTTAAAGTAACACTCAATCATCTTAAATGGGTTCTACCATTTGACAGAATTTAAGAACTATTTTTATAAACCTAAAAAATTATTTTTTTTTTTAAACCGGCGCCATTTTGTTAATATTTAATATATTTTAAAGAAGTTCCCCAACGATCTTATGGATATATGATGTAGGAAAAATATATTTTGCTTTCGTAATCATTCAGATTTTTTTCCTTGATATTTTGTAAAAAAAAATATTTTAAATAGATTTAAGAGTTACGTTATAATGTGCAAAAAGTTTTAAAACATTCTATCTTGTATAATTATCTTTTTAATTTTTTTTCTTAATATTTTGTAAAAAAAAAAAAAATATTTAAAATGGAAAGAAAGTTACGTTAAAAGTTTCAAAACATTCTATTTAGTACTTTCTTTAACAATAATTCCAAAGATTGCCTATTTTTTCGGGGGTTACACTGGATATAGCCCCGTCCCTTTACAACTTAATGCGTCGCGGTTCCAAGTAGAAAAAGGAAACTTAAACTTACCTTCGAGTGGAGGATTGGCACCATTGAGACGCGGTCCCCGCAAAGAGGCTGCTCCCGCCGATGCCGAGCCCTTGGACTGCTTCTGCTCTTCGTGGAAATAGGCCTCGATGCTGCCCTTCAGCTCCGCCCGGGGCAGTGCCACCGGCTGGTAATCCCGTCCAGAGCGAACAGCAGCGGAGTGGGTGGTGGGCGGTGCAGTGGCTGCATTGGCTCGAGCGCCGGCCTGCGCCTTCTGGACATAGGCCACATGTGCCAAAGTGGCCAGATTGCTGTTGCCTCCGGCGGCAGCTGCACCAGCACCCACTCCTGCTCCTCGCTCCTGGGCATAGCTGGTGGGATGTGGCTCCTGTGACTCCTCGGAGAGCGGACGCACATGCACTCGCTCCGGTCGCTGGGCATTCAAGTTGATCAGCAGCCGATCGTTGGATCGCTCATTGAGGAAGGCTCGCTCCATGAAGTTGGCGCCACTGGTGCTCATGTTCACGGCTGCATTGATGATGCTCTGATGCGAGATCTCCAGAGTTCGCTCAATCTCCCCGTTGACCAAATCTCCAATGGTCTTGCCCGAAGTGGCAGCTCCTGCCTGTCCCGAAAGCGGTGGCGTGGCCTGTGGCGGCGGCCCATGCTGGCTCAGCTTCTCCTGCGATAGATGACGACGCAGTGCCATCTTGGCGGGTGACACCTGCGTGTAATCCGGCTGCGATGAGTTCGAACTTGGCCTGCTTGGCGGACGGATGCGATAGCCGCTGTAGTCCGAGTTGGCGGAACTGGCACGCGGCAGCAGCTCCAGCGGTTGCTGCTGTGGCTCCACAATCAATTGCTCACGGCTGCCCGAACGCTGCAGATGATTATCAGCCGGCGGTGCCTTAAACTCATTGGGATGATGCGGATGAGGATGTGGATGCGCATGTGGATGAGGGTGCTGATGCTGATGCTGGTGCTGCACATGCTGCTGCATACGATGTTGCTGGTGGTGATGATGATGCTGTTGCTGCTGGTGATGATGATGCTGATGCTGCTGCTGCTGTTGCTGTTGCTCCTCCACTCGCATGTGCTGACGTTGTGCCGCATGAGCGGCGGCGGCCAGCATGAGCTGCTGTTGCTGGAGCTGCTGCTGCTGCTGGACCATAAAGTGCTCGTAGCTGCTGGCGCTCACGGAACTGCGTCGCCGCTGGTAGCCCAGATCGGCCGGAGTCGTCTGCTGGCCAGCTGCATACAGAGCAGCCATGTGAGAGGGTGGAGGCGGTGGCGGTGGCGGCGCCTGTCGAACCGGCGAGTACTTTGGCTCCTTAGCTGCCTGGAACTTGCTCGATACCGATCCTGATCCCGATCCCGTGACCTTGCCGACTGAACCGCCATAAGCGCCATAAGGAAGATTTGCTGGTGGTGGCGGCGCCGTGGATGCAGTGGCTCCTGCCCCCGGACCCGGCAGTGGTGGCGTTATGGGCGATATAGTTGTGTTGGCGTTCAGATGCATCAAACCCTGCGTGGACACGGTAATGATGTTGTGCAGATTATTGGGCAGCGATTGGGCAGCTGGATTCATGACAGCAGCAGCAGACGATTGCTGTTTCGATCGCTTGGGCGCCGGACTGTGGAGGGGAGAGGGGGATGGCGACGAGTCCACTGCCTTGCTGCGCAGCTCCTGATCCTCGTTCAGGGCTGTGGTGATGATGCTCTTCAACCGATCCTCAAAGTTGGCCACCTTGGGAGATTCCTGCTTCCGGCTGCCCGACATTCCGGGTAGCTCACACTTGGGCAGCTGCGAGAACTGCTGCTGCTGCTGCTGTTGCTGTTGCTGCTTGGGTGCCGGCATCAGGGTGCTATCCTTGTAGTGGTGGCCAGGTGAGGACTTAATGCTCACCGGAGCAGTGGGCGGTGGTGGGGGAGTGGCCTCTGGCATCGCTTTGCTCTTGCCATTCACTTGGTAAGTGGGCGCCGCAGATCCCTGGAACTTGCCAGCCTCAATTTGGCGGCAAGTCTCGACGATTTTCTGGGCCAGCACTTCGGGATTGCTCTCCTGGATCTTGCCCACTTCTGGCACCTCTGGCCACTCTTGCGAACGCGCACGATGCTCGCGACTGCGGCGCGAGTTCTTGGCAGTGTTTAGTTTATTGTTTTGCACTGTCAGAGAGCTCGTAGCGTTGGCGGTGGCGGCGGAGGATGAGGAGGAGGATGTTGATGTCCCAGTAGATACAATCAGGTTTGTACCTTGCGCCAAAAGCGTGGCAGCGGTGGACCTCTCCTCCGCTGTCTTCTGCAGCACCGTTGTCTCCTGTTCGATGGTGGACACCTGGGCGTAAAGTTTCTTGCGCTGGCTCAGCGTATTGGCAATCTCCTTGAGCACCAGCTCCTGGGCAGTGGTCTCCGAAAGTTCCGGTGCCACCTCGAGCTTCACCTTGCCATTGACCGTACTGCCGCAGAGTTTCTGGTACTCGGCCAGGTTCTTCAGCTGCTTGTTGAGCAGTAGCTTCTGCTCGCCCTCATAAAAGGTGACTTCGTTTCGCATCCTGCTTGCCGTATGCTGCAGATCCTTGTGCCTGCCCACAATCTCCTTTGCCTGGGCAATCAGATCGTTGGGCGAGTTGACATGGATGCCCAGCTCGTTCATGCGCACCTTTAGCAGAGCCACACTGTCATCGATCAGTACCTTGATCTGCTTGTCCAGCTGACTGGCTCGGTTCTTTAGCCTGGCCATGCGTTCCTGCTCTTGGGCAATTTGCTTTTGAACCTGCGGCACATACGCACTGGACTTCATGTGCTCAATCATCGATGTGTATTGCGAACGAAACACATCCAAAAGGATCTGCAGAGCATAAGGCGTGTCCTGGGGCGCAGATGGAATATCCAACTCCGTGTGTGCCATGCTTTCCGTGAGCAGAGCCGTAAGCTGTTGATCCACGGTTCCAGGAGCTGCTGGCAGCTTCTTGGTCATCGTATCCAGGGATGTACTCAACACCGTCTGCTTGTGCAAGGCTTCCAGACCGACAATCTTTAGGGATTTCCTGCCCCTTGCCCCCTTCTTCATGCGTCCCTTACGACCAGGTCCGGCACTGGCTGCCCTCGGTTGATCCTCCTTCGAGCTGGACTCCTTGCTGGTCACCGCTGCCGCCGCCGACGCTGCTGCTGCTGCCGCCTCGGCTTCCCTTTGGGCAGCGGCCGCGGATTTACTAGCAATGGCCGCTTTCCTTGTCAACTTTTTGCGCTTTTTCTGCGTCGTTGCTCGTGCCTGTCGGCCAACTGATCCTCCGCCCATTCCACCGCCATTGCTGTTCGAGTTGTTGTTCTCCTCGTCATCCGACTGCGAACTCTTGCCCTTGGAACTGCACCAGTCGGACCAAACCTTCCTGGTCATCGGCCCGTTCGAGGCGGAGGTGGTGTTGGTGGCCGTGGTGGTGTTGCCACCATTGCCATTCGTCGCCTCGCCATCGCTCTCCGTACTGCTCTCCATGTCCAGGCTGCGTTGCTGCTGCTGCTGTTGTTGCTGCTGCTGGTGCTGTTGCTGGTGTTGGTGCTGCTGCTGTTGCTGCTGCTGCTGTTGCAGTTGCTGGCGTGTTTTGGAGGCAGCTTGTGGCCCACTGGCAGCTGCTATTCCCCCGCCGCTGACATTGGCCGGCGATTGGGATTGATTTCGCTGCTGATGGGCAGCGGTGGTAGCGGCAGCGGCAGCTCCGTTCGACTGTTCTCGCTCCCGTTGATGATTGTTGCTATTGTTGTTGTTGTTGTTGTTGGCGTGATGGTTGCTATTGTTATGATGGTTGTTTTGATGATGCTGGCCAACATTCGCCTCACGCTTGGCACGATCTCGTGTGGTGCGAACAGTTCCTGTGAGACAAGATAAATGTATTTCATAATTAATAAAGAATACTTTTAAGGACCTAGACTAATCTTATTTAAACCGTTTTCACGTAAACAAGTATAAATATATATTTCAATAAAACCCTAGTAACCAAAAGCATTTATAACAAATATTAATCTAACTTGGTTAAATCAATCACTTCATTAAATCGTTTGTAAATAAAATAAAGGAATCATAATAATACCTTAATAAACATCTAAGTATAGATATTAAAAAAAAAATCTAACCAAAAAAACCACACGATTTCCTAGTAAATTTATATTTTTATTATCTTAAACTTAAAGAATTAACTGAACTATGACATTAGCTCTCTCCTAATGCTAAAGAACACAATAATAAGAACACAAAAATAGTTCCTAATATTAATTTCCTAAATCTGATTTTAAAATATCTAAACAACATTAACCTGATGATAGGAAATGATAATTGACTTGATAGCGAATGAATTTATAACATTTAATGATAAGAGTAAAACAGATTTTCATTCCAGTACTACTGGAATTAGAAAATTTCATTAGAAAAAAACCATAAAAGATGAAAAGAACTTCTTGATTATAAACAGTGACTGATTGATTGGGAACATGACGTTAATGACTGATTTTGTGTGTATTGTTTGGTTGTTTGATTTCCCATTAGTTCATCCTTTATCTCTGTCGTCTGTCGTCCTTTTGAACTTACCAACACTCTCGTGATCGTTGCCGCCTTTCGTTTTCAGGCGCTGAAAGTATCGCTCCAATATGGTGCGATCTATAACGTGCAGATAATACGAGACGGGCTTACAGGTCCAGGAAACGGAGCCCTTAAGGGGCGGAATCTCGCTGACGTGCATAATGGTGCCAATGTCGCTGAGGTTTCTGCAAAGAAAGTATTACCATTAAGCACGAATTTATTCAACAAAAGCTTAAAGGTTTTATCCTGCACATCAACGTATTCAATTGTCGGAGCCAGAATAGTACCTTAGATTTGTAAAACAACAACAACCAACCTGTCCGTTATCCGAAAGTTGAGCGGACAGAACGACTTGGAGGACACGACTCGCGCTCCGTCGCGCAGATCCGCAAATCGTTCCTTGAGCTGGTGATCGACCGTCGGGCCAAAGGCGAAGTTGTTAACAAAGACCAGCGTCGAGGAGGTGATCTTCTCACGATGTTCATCGACCAGAAAATCACCCTTGATCAGCTTATATTCGCAGAAGCGTTTGCCAAACCATCCCATATATTGGCGAAAGATCACGTCCATGCGTTCCGCATATCGCGCCGGAGTGTCCGCCTTCTCGATGCCAATGCACGTTTTCAGGGGAAAGGATCCGGCCATCTGGAGGACCACCTGGCCAACTCCCGAGCCGAGATCGATGAACGTGTCCTCCTTGCTGACGGTGACGTGCTTGAGCATCTGCTGTACCAGCTCGTAGCTCGTCTCGCCATAAACCTCTGGCGAAAAGGGCTCATACTGATTGAGTTTATCCGGATCGAGTACGGCAGCATTGTATACTAATTGCAAAATGTGTCTTAGAAGGCTAGGGTGAGCGAACTTGTTCAGGCGCTCGGCGGGCAGTGAAGTTCCTTTTTCCTATGAGAAGCGAAAATAGTATATTTCATTATATAACAAAAAAGTTATTTTAAAAAGAAAAATGTAGCAAGACTTTCTATAAACAAAACTTCAACCATTTAAGGCAAGAAACCTTCGAAAATTAAAGTTTAACAATAGTTTTTCTTTTTAAATAATTTTCTATTAGTACTATAAGAAGGGGGATAAAAACTCACCAATGCAACGATGCTGTCGACGGCCTTATTGAAGCGATCGACCAGACCGGTCATAGTCTTATAGCAGGCAGTGTCAATTTGATGGAGATTGGTCTCCTCGAAGGCCGATGACATCGATGGCAGTTCATCGCAGACGAACTTAATGGTGTCGATAATGTCGATGCCATTATCGTGCTTATCTTGTCCGTGTCCGATTTGCAGGGGCCAGGCGAAGGAAATGACATCGGAGGAGCCAGCGGGCGAGCGCAACACCAAGTCCTTGACTTGGGGTGTGGCCATATTTTTCCGCTTTCCTTAGCCAGGCTTTTTTTTTTGTATTTTTTTTCTATTTTGTTGTGTTTTTTTGGTGTCCGTGGCAAGGGGCGAGATCGGTTTTTTGTTTTTTGAGAGTGTTTGGACACTAAAACAACGTTTGCTTTTTGTTGTTTTAGTTGGTTTTTTTTCGGTAGTGTCGTTTGAGATTTTGTTTTGTTTATGATGCGCTTATGAGGGTGAGTCTATGATAGGTGCTAAACGACTTGATGATCAAAAATTGGCATAGGATTTGTGTTTCTGTATTTTAACTTGTGTAGGAGGCGTTTGCGTTACGGTTTACGGTTTACGGTTACGACTATGGTCTACGTTTATTTTAAATGGTTTCTTCTTCTGGTTGTTGTTGTTGTTGTTGATGTCTTAGGAACAGTGGCAGCGTTGGGTTAATGTATTGGGCTAATAGTATAATATTATGCTTCAACTACTCTAGACGTTGCGTTTCGTGGCGTTACGTCGCGTTTGCTCTTAACGTTATTGCTGCTCCTGCTGCTGCTGCTGCTGCTGCTACTCTGCTGCCTCTTCTTCTACTTCCGTTGCGGCCACTTCTCTTTCCGTTTCCGGTTCGTCTTCCACTCACTACTTCCGCTCTTCCTCCAGCAGCAGCGTCAAAATACAAAAGTAACTGATGATAGTTGCGTAGTTTGATATTTTGCTGGATGTTAAGAAAACGATGCATTTTCTTCAGTGTGCGGGAACAACATTTTCCAAATGCTTTCCTTTCTCCCAATAATTTCTGTTTCGAATTCTTCTTGCTGCCGCCGTTGCTGTTGCATTATAGATTCCCACCGTTCCGTTTCGATTCAGTGCGTTCCGTGGCACTCGCTCGTTCCCCAACACCGATGCGCATATTGCACGCGCCTCGGCCCAGTTTTGGCAAGCGTTTCGATTATGGAATTTGCTGTTTTTATGCTTTTACAACACACGCGCCGCCTTTATTTTGTATATACAGATTTAAAAGTGTGTTCTAGTTTGAGTCTGTAACAAGAGAGAAAAGAAGAGAAGACAATGGTAAAACATAAATAAACAACATAATCAAAACAAATTGTTTTAACAAAAATGCGGGGTCTAGAACTTGATGATTTGTATGGTTAGCGAGTATTGAAAATGCGGTTCAATGCCAAAAGTCTGATGGTACTTTATAATAGTGCAGAGGTAAATGTGGTAGATGCATCTTACGTTCTATATTTAAGCTAATTTATATTGAACCAGTAGCTATTTTAAATATAGTTTAACTATTTTAATGACAGAAAAAAGTGTGTTCACTGGTTTTGCTCTTGTCAGTTATTGAATAAAATAACTACGACTACTTGGTCTTATTTAAGTTTTGAAACTGTATTTTGTACCCAACTGTTTTCAAAAGTATTCAAATCTTGTGCGTCGAATAGAACGGTACAGGTTGAAGGGACCTTAACCAATCAATTTATATAGATGAAGCTACAGGACACTTGTAATTCAGTTGGAGATAATATTATGTTATTATTTGTTTTAAATTAAGCTAAGCACCCCTTTGCTCTCGCAGTTTTACAAATCTTGAACAAACTATTGTTAAAGATATAGAGTTTTTTTTTACCAAAGAGACAAATTTAGTTATTTTCATCCTACAATATTATTTTTAAATATTTTATGTCTCAGAATGATACAAGTTGGCTTCTTGAATATTGGCCAGTGCAATGGCTTTAACGAAATTGTAAGATATTTTATAAATTTCTTAACTGCCAAATATTCCCACACTGGGATTTGTTCGAACTGTCACCGATATATTTCATCATTGATATGCAACACCTCTTTCCCTGTGGGTTTTGCTTTATGTTATGAGCACAAAGCTCAGGGTGACGGCTTTCGTTATATTTGTTTATTATGCTAATTAGTCATGCCAGGCACGTTTCAGGGCTTTTTTTTTAATATACTTTTTTCACTTTGTATTTAATGTGATGCCATTAATTTTTTGCTTATTCTATTTTTGGTGGGCGTAGACGCAAGTCAGCGACAATGTGACTTCATTAGCATAAACAGCGTTGACGACAGCTTTCCTCGAGGAAAGCAGGGGGTTGGGAAAAGCCAGTCACGAAAAATCGATAACAACCCCAAGGCCTGGGGTTTGAATTAAAGAATGACTGAAAATTAAATGTCCGTCACTTGGATATTTTCTAATTAAAGCTTACTCGTCATAGGTGTTTAAAGTCACCACTGAGGCGGATTAGTTGCAGCTTAAAGCTTCAATAAATCTATGTATATAGAAAGGGAGATATCCAGTCTAGCGTTAAAATTTTGGCTAGACAAGCGCCACATTAAATTGAATGGGTTTTTGGCCTGCACACACACATAGACAAAAAATATATACAGCGTTAGTTATATATATATATATATTCTAGCTCAGTCTGGCAACTGCAAACAAAATTGCAGTACATTATATAAACAAGTGCTGTTATGTGGCATCACATCGTTGTTGTTTATGCATGCACGTGTGCGCATCCAACCAACCTCCCCGCTTCGAAATATGTATCTACATCTCCTATGCGTGTGTATCCGTATCTAGATATATATATATATATATGTATATGAAACCATGACAGCCCCAACAGACAGCCAGACAAAAGCTCCATGTGGCATCTGTCTCCTGCCCGATTCTCCACCCCTTTTTGGCCACTGCCCCTTTCCGAAAGCATATTCCACCCACATTTCGCCCATTTCGCCGGTCAAGCCGACAAACAACAACACGCGGGCTATAACAACGGATAGCTACAGAGGCAACGACGACGTCAACAATTTATTGTTAATCAATAACATGCAATGAATTTTATTTTCAGTATTTAAGCGCCATCGGGTATTTGCAGTTTAAGAGAAATGTGCGTGTGGCAATGAAAAGCTGGTGAGAAAATGTCGTCCATGTCGTAAGGGGAGAAAGTGATAAGAATGAACTTTAATTGTAAAGAATAGACGAAAATAATGGTAAGATTCTTGTTAAATAATAAAAAACAACATTTATTGCTTATTTTGTGTCTGGTAATTTAGGTTATTTACTGAGATTTTATATACTCTTATTAGTAGTGAAAAAAATGAAGCTCATTTTATAGATTCAGGTTTTCTGCGTTAATAGATACATTATTAGCCTTTTCTCTACTCATATAAATGGTTTAAATGGATCCCATTGGTTAATTTACATACCCTGACATCACTGTAGAAAGTCTACACCCTGGGTGGCCAAACAAGCCCATTTAACAGGCATTGAACTTATAGTCTGCCGCCGAAACCATTTGTTGTCAATTTTTGGATGTAACCGTAAATTGTGGCTTGCAAACAAGAAAGTCAAAGTTAGGGTGGACCAGACAGACGACTAAGAAGAATCCTTTATCATCCCTTTGGTCCTTTTACTGCTGTCTAGTCGACAAAGTGAAAGCATGTGTGAGCAATTTTGCATGTTTCTAATGAAATTTATTCAAAACAACAGACGACATCTCATTTAACAAATTTTTCGGAAGGGCTGTGAAAAGGTTTTTTTTCTTATCCCCACATTGGTTGAAGTGAAACAAATAAAAATGTGGGAGGGTAAAAAACAAACGGATACATAAAATAATTTTAAGTTATCATTCATTCTAAAAATAAAAAGTTAAACTATTAAAACTGTATTAATTTTGTTTTTCCGATATTAGCTGTTTTTACATTAGTAAAAAGAAAATGCTAGTTAGACACCGCTGTTCTATTTATATCATATATTTTAATTTGTTTTTTTTAGCCCGTAGAGGCGTGACACACTTTTCGCTGTTCTATTATACACAAACATTTACTGAGAAAAGTTGACACAATTATGAAACCCATGGAGAAAAGATAAAAGGGAGCTTAGTGGGGTACATACAGCCATCGGCAACATTGCGCTTTTAATCAACTTAAAAAGCACATACAATTTTCAGTTATTCCTCTCTTTATAATGTACATTGAAAACAAAAAACAAGAATTTACTTCGCTTAAATCGAAATATAGCTTGAAAAAATAATAAATTATTAAGGCAAAACTAACTAGATTAAAAAATATTAAGGAACTTGCAATATATTTAAAAACAGCAACGGTTTTATTTACATAACTTTTTTTATCCGACAGCCCTTATGACACTACACTATACGACCTGCATTAGAAAAAATACTTTTAGGAACGTTTCATCCATATAGCTTTAAAAGTAAGAGACTAGTTAGCAAAGCAACGAACTTTCGGACGGACATGGATAGATCGACTCTCCTAGAAATGTTGATCATAATTTTTGGAAACTTTTATAATACCATCAGCAAAGTAAGAAAAATATAATATATATTTAAATAGTGTCCGCATCTGTTTTAAAATTATTCTTATACATTTTTTTCTGTGTAGTAGCAGACAACGCCCACGCAAACTGTTATTATTATTATTTTTTCTCTTTCTTTTTTTGCAATATCATTTGCGTGTGTTGTTTTCTGTGTTTGCCTTTCCTTTTTTATTTTATGACTCTGCCTGCCACGCTGTCTGCCTTGTTTTCAGCTTGCCTCCTCTCATTTTCTGTTTTTGCTGATATCCCAAACTAAAATAATAAAAACAAATTGCCTATAAAATGTGAGCCATATACAACAGTTCTGAAAATGAATTTTTCGAGCGGGAGGGAGAGCTTGGGTGACTAGTTTTATTATAATGGCGATTGTGTGTCAAGGTCAGCAATTGTGGCAGCAATTAACAAATCAGCTATATATTTATATACATTGTTAACTCTGTTAGCTTGTAGTTCTCTGTTTCGGGTAAAGTTTATTTTCTTGATTTTGTTTTCTTACAAAAAATATATTTCTATATTCAATTTTGTTGCATTTGCCTTTGATTTTGTTTTGGTATTTAATTTAATTTGTATTTTCTCTGCTCCCATGGTCATGTGCTGTAATTGTTGTTGCTGCCCAACCGAAGGTCAAAATAGTTTACGCTTTGATTTCTCGTTAATTATTGCCGTTTCCCAGTGCTCAAAGCGTTATCTGGTTTTTGTTGATTTTCATGTTAGCTTTGTTATAAAACCATATATTATTTCAGATTCTTATTCTTCTGGTCATTGATGATCACATATTCACTTTTAATATTAACAACAGATTTGTTTTAAACAGCTAACTAAAATAATAAATAACTAAAAACAAAGTATAAAAATAGCAAAACAATAAAAAATAACTTTGTAATCTATAACAAATAAAACGTTGAATAAATAATTTTTTGTTTTTTGTCATTTTAAATATAGTTTTGCTTCTTGCTTATAGGATCAAAGTCTTATCTGTTGTTTTTCAAATGCATTGAGGTCAGTATATACATACATATATATTAACGTAGTTTCATTGCATCATGTAGTTTGTAATCATGCTTCCAGGAAAGCAAGCGCATGGCTTTAATTCATTTTCATTATTTTGTACTGATAAGAATTTCCTATGTAGAATAAATTGTATAAAAGCGCAACCTGTTGGCATGTGGGGGCCATCAAATGTTTTTCTTCTTTATGTCTTTAAACAAACAACAAAAATATTGATAAGATACGACAATTGTTGACCTACTTACAAATGCTTTTGATTAACAAAAGGCTAACATGTATTTAAAATGAAAGAGAAAAAAAAATTTGTTGAGTTAACCATGTGACATTAACCGCAATGAAGGAAGTTCCTTATTTTTTTATTGCAGTTTTTGAACCAGGCTGCAAGTCAAACACCTGCCAGGCATGGTCAGAAAGGAAGACAACAAAAGATCGCCAGCATTTCGGTTTGGTACGTGCCAGGGGGAATTCCCCTTGTTTATTTTTTTTCTCGAGCTCCCCTTTTAAGATCCGTTTGGGAAGGTCATCAATCGCTTTGCTTATATATAATTTTATGTCCTGCGGTTTTGTAAAAAGGAACAGCTGCATCTTTAAACACATGGCAAACAGGAAAATTCACAGCTTTTGAGTAAAAAATGCAGTACAATGCAGTACATGTAAAGAAAAAGTTTACTGA